GGCAATTCAAAGCAAGGCGTCAATTCTATGAGAGAATGCCTTGTTTCCGTATATTTGCCAGATCTAGGGAGAGCTTTTCCCTCAAAAGTTTATATGGGAATGAGTGTGGCATCCCCATATAAACTCTTGATGGAAAAGTGGGGAAACTTGCAAAAACTATCTAATATATTCGAAGTTTGAAAAAAGTTGTTTGTCGCGGAGCGGATGTAACGTGCCGAAGATGATACGGATGCGTGTGTGTGTGTGTGTGTGTGTGTGTGTGTGTGTGTGTGTGTGTGTGTGTGTGTGTGTGTGTGCGTGGACTACGTACGTCGCAGGGTGCTATGAACTCGTACACCCATGTGTGTGGCGCACACAGTCTCACTTCCAAGAGCTCACACCCTCATCCGTCAATCAGAAGAAAATGTTGGTCGTGGTGCAAACACAGTTGGAGCGTTGAGTGATGGAGATAAGTCGTCGTTCGTGAAGCCTTACTTTGCAATCTTAAGGTTACGTTTATGTTAACTATGGCTTACCCAGGATGGTCTCACGGAGGAAGAAAAAATGGTGCCAACCTGTTAACAACAACTACAGATATCTAAACGCAAAAATCAGCGGCACAATCCGTATTATAAGCGAAGAAGCCGAAGACCTCAGTACCAGGCTAAAGCGGCTCCAGTGCAAAATAACACAGCGGTCTACCATAAGACCTACATACAATTGCAGTCGCTTTTGTTATTCAAGACAGGTGGGACCAGTCACAAACCACTTCGACAGCCTGGAGAGATCGAACCGTCGCTTCTGTATGATGCTGCCCCGTGGCCAGCCAACGTGGAGCGCGCCTATTTTATGATTGTTACAACCTGGATAACAATCAACTGGAGTACACGGACGGACTCGGTCGATGTGATTGTGATGGTCATTGTGTAATTGGAGCCTATAGTAATTCCATCAACAACATTATTTGTACACAGAAGACTTGCCATTTCATTCGCGATACATCCCGCGGTCACAACAGATTGCAAGAA